TGTTTCTTTCACAAGAAATGTATAAAATTAGTGCTGTATTAGACTTACGGTACCTAATTTACATACTGTACAGACGATAATAAACTCAACTTATTAGCCTAAAATCTCCGTAGCGTGGCGCCAGGCGGCGGAATACATATATATAATTATAATAAATTTACAATAAATTAAGTTAATATATAATTATATATACAGTACCTAATTTATATATAATTAATATATAATTATATGTACAGTCCTAATTTATATACAATACTGTACAGACGATAGCAAACTCAATTTAGCTGCTCAGTAGCGTGGCGCAGGGCGAAGAAAAGTAGTTTGGCGTTTCATCCACTATTGGTCCGGTTTATATCAATCTTTTCGCGAAACGAGTCGGCGACGACGTTTTCGGAGCTCCTTTATACGAATGTTTATACAATTTTTTCGCTACGTTATAGGAATTTCCGTTATAGGTACGCACGTTATAGGGGGTCGACTGTATTTCGAATTTTCTACTGCAAGTTATACAAACCACATGTCATTCTATTCTACAGAAGTTTAGGACTTTTTTATAAGCTCTTCTATCACTAAGAGAGCTATTTATATCGACCATTTGTAAGACTCACAATGAGGCGGTCGGATGAGGCCAACGTATACAAAGTCCACTTCGAAAAATCCTTGGGTTTATTCCACTCTTTCGGAATCCATCCCGGATCCTGAAGCGGTAGGCTGCCATCTTAGTTACAGAGCCGTATAGCTTTATACAGATATTTCAGGACTGCTGAACACCCATGCAGAGATTGTAGCACAATTATTATTAAATCCGTATAAATACAAGCAGCATTTATGATATTATTAGCTGTTCCTTCTCTAAATTCATATATTATTTTATCGTTTGTAGTGGCCCCAATTAAAACCATCAGATAATTACAAATTTTTAGGTTTTATTATATATTATTGTATAATTAATAGTTAATAAATTAATAAATTAATAGGAATTTATAAATTTTAAATTGTTTATTATCTTTTAAGAGAGAGAGATTAATTACAATTTTAGATGTGTCTATAATTATTTTCGAGTTCAATTTCCCACAAAATTCCACGTTTAAAATAGTACAGTAAAATTTGATGTAAATATTAAAATCTTTTTCGTATAATATAAACTCTACTAATTAAATTTTTCTCATCTATTTATTCATTTCGTCAATATAATTAATTTTAAAAGGTAATTTCTTTTCAATAATACGCATATATTTACATTTTAGATAAGAAAATATCTATATATTTAAATTAAAAAGCAGATCTTTTAAACTTTGATCTTCGTACTGAAATATGGCGGAAAGTCAGGTAAACTTAATTTTTTATTGATAAATTTAATGTTATTTGAGACAGTAAAAAAATACATAAAAGACAATTCTATCTACACAAGTTACAACAACGATTATAAAGATTACATTATAGCAGTTCAGTCGTGTCAACAATCATAAGCTTTATTCAGTCGTGCAACTAAAATAATTACTGTATAATCACAGAATTTAGAAAACATCTCAGCTGTTAAACGTGATAAATAGTGTTTAAAATTCTATATACATCTATCTTCTCATGAAATTATTAAGCGAAACAAATAACAAATGATTGGATTTTGACTTAATTATTGTTTATTATTTATTGTTTCCTGCTACAATAGTTCTTTATAAATAAAAACGATGTAACACCTTAAGATTCTCTTGACTAACTGCAAGTACACGATTTTAAGTTAATAATTATGTATTATAGCATACATCTTTGTCTTACGACTTTATAATAGACTAGCTGCAAGGACCCGCTTCGCTGGGTTTTTAAAAAGTAACGATAGTGAAGATTAATTAAGATAATCACATTATAGCCAATCTTACCCGTTTTCACAGAATGCAAGAATTAGGTCCTCCGTTTCCAGACAAATTAGAGACCTGCTCCCGATTTTATTTCTGGACGTCTCCTGTTCACGTCCAGTCAAACAAACTATTTTCAACGTTTCTGAAACTTTACAATCGTTCTATAATCGAACCAATATTCGAATTTGTTTGAATTTAATTTGAACAAATTCGAACAAAACATTCGAAATACAAAGCCACTTTCAACCACTTTCAAGCCCATATCTCCCGCACCCTTATAGCTATCGAGACGCAACCACCATAGTGCACGAATGGAGACCTGGGGCTACTACCACATACAAACGCCATTCATGTGCGATGTGTAGTTTTGGCGGAAAAGTGAAATATAGGGACATACATGTCCATATATATATATAGATATATAATATATATTAATTTAATATATAATATATATATATATATTATAATTAATTCTATAACATTTTAATTAATATACAGTAGAGCGTCGATTATCCGAATCAATTGGAGACTGGGGTTGTTGTAAAGATCGATGTTTCGGATAACCGATTATGCACGAAAAAATATATTAATTTATTCCATCTTGACATTTTTCTCCGTTGCGTGTCGCTTCGCGTTGAATTTTCGTCGATTTTAAGCCTAACGAAGACTATTGTATCGTTAAAAATTATTTATTCATTTTGTGCGAACAAAATAAATATATTGAAAAATATAAAAACAATAAAAATTATACATCAGAAGTTTATTTAGTATCAAAAACGTAAAAGATTTGAGTAGCTGAAGACAAAGATTGCAGCGCCACAGCACTGGCGAAAATTTAAAATTGCCGACTGGAATTCTTTCGGATGATTGAGTTTCGGATAATCGACGCTCTACTGTATTAAGTCTTAATTATTGAAACGTTACAGAAATTGGAAAGTTTGGCATTAGATACCTCAGATACAGCAACGGGAAGAATAGCAGAGCGTAATTATTTTTAAATATATACATTAAATCTATACATAAAAATAAAAACAACATTTTATAATATATTTTATCACTATTGTCAGATATTGAAATACACGGCTCAACCGTCCATCTGGGAGATATTTATAATATAAATAAACCATCCAGTTCAACTGATAACAATGATCCAGGTAACTTAAAATAATATAAGCTAAAATATATTAATTCAAATTAAATATGTGAAGTAAATTAATAATAATCATAATATTTAGAAACAATTGATTTATATTATTGAATTTTAAGTTTATATTCCAAATTTATAAATGACGTTAAGTGAAATTTGTCTGAATTTGCCAGTAATTTTTGTTTTAAAAAGTGCTTAATATAAGACATGCACTATATATCTATTGACTTTTATTGTGAAAGCACAAATATAATAATTACAATTAACAGTACAGTTTGTCTAGTAGATAGCAATATCTTCATATTTTACTAATTAAATTTATTTATTTATTTAATTTTCTTTAAGTCTTCAAGCTAAAATACTCCTATTATAGATCAATGACAAGTCACTACTGTATCCTATAAGAAAACACATGTTTCAAAGTAGTGTCAATCACAATACGAAGGATAGGGAACAACAACTAATCCATATTATTTATGATGCTGATTAAAAGTTTAGTTCAGGCTTGACCCTATATTTAAAATACTTTACAGTCGTAATAAAAAGTGATAAATTTTTGGGTGTGTTTAAAATTTAAACCGGTAGTGTTCAAACTAGTAACGTTAAATTTTTGAAATATAAAAAAAAACTATAGAAAAATTACGTTTATATGTATAATATTTTTCAGAATCTTTTCAGATACAGAGAGAATGCTTAATGAAATATTACAATACTGAAAATGCTTATATGAAATCTTTGTTGTGGAGTGAAGGAAGCAAAGACTTTCCCTTAAAAGACTACTTCATCGAACTTACAGTTAAGGAAGCAGATTTATTAGGGAAAAAGGAAGGAGAAACTATTCAGTTCACACAGATTTTTCCAGAATCAACGGACAAACATGTTGTAATGTTAGTCACTGGTGATCCCGGTTATGGAAAAACTACGTTTTGTAATAAAATAGCATATGATTGGGGTACCGATACATCCGGTACCGACTACTTAGGACATTATGATTTTACTATCGTCATTATTTTGCGAGAATTAGAGAAGAAAAGTATAACAGACGAGATTCTGCAAAGAATTTGTGAAAATACAGATTCCAGTCTTAAAAAGACGTTAAGAGAAAAAGGATTTAATTTATTAATCATTCTGGATGGATTCGACGAAACAGATAATAAAGATTCAATTATACAATTTATTAAAAAAGATTCAGTCGATATTTCTAAATTAATGACAATTCTTGTTACTTGTCGTCCTCACGCTGCCGAAAATATAAGAAAATACGCACATATGAGATTCGTTATTCGAGGATTTTCACAACAACAGAAAGAAAGGTATATTAAATTAGTTATTAACGATGATAACGGCAGACGGGATGAACTTATAAACTTGATAAAATTCAGCAATTTTCATTCTGCCTTAGCTGAATGTCCGTTAATGTTGCATATGTTATGCTGTCTACCACAAACGAAATACTTTCACAAAATACAAACTAAAACAGATTTGTTCATTCAAATTTTTCGTCTGGTGATAAAAAGATATATGAGAAAAATGGGAGAAAAACATCATTTAAAAAAAGGAAAGTTTTTCTATGGAGAAAACTTACTGGTTAAATTAGGAGAAATACATTTGGACAAAAGATCCAAAATGAGTAAAATAGATAAGCCCATATCAATGTACGAGATTCACAAATTGCTAACGTTAACAGATAAACAGTTAAAGAAAAAGTTTCCGGAAGAAGAAGACTTTCAATTTATATTGGGACTAGACATTTTTGCAAAGTATTTTGAGGTAAATGGAATTAGTTGTTTCGATTTTCTACATAGAAGCTTTTTCGACTTTATCATCGCTCTTTGTTATTACCATTCAAAACATATCCCTCTAGATTGTGCGAAAGATTTTATAATTTTAACGTTTCTCTGCGGTCTTTGTGGAGATGAAGAATTTTCAAGTAATTTCATATACGCTATTCGACAGAATGTTTATCATCCTACATGTTTGCTCGAATGTGTTAATGAAATTAAAAATATAACCAACAAACAATTATTCTGTTCAAATGCTAAAGTATATTTTGATTTTACCTATTTAAAAATGATGACAATTATATTAGAGCTACCTTACTTTCGACTTTCTCAAATTTATTTTCATTTTCCCGACGCAAAACATTTGTATGAAAAAATTACAAAACAACTAATAGACTTACAAAAGATTTACAAAGAATCTGATAAATTGGAGATATTTTTACTTTTGGATAAAAGTATTAAATTCGTGAATGAAGGAAATAGCTTTAAAAATGAACCTTGTTTAGAAAAGATTTGTGATATTCGTCAATCCGTTATTCTCATTCAAAAGTTAATAAATAGTTTCAAATGGGATAAATTTAAAATTTGTTTTAGTGGTGTATTTGCCCTTAGACGTATTAATCCTATTCTTCATTACAGCATGTATAATTTTTTCAAAGACGTCGAGAATCCTACAGTAATTCCAAAAGATCTTAATCTAAAATTGCATAAAAGAAGTAAAAGTCTTGTTGCTCTCCTTACCAAAGATGAATTCATTGGAGAAGTTAAATACTTGATTTCTAATGAACAATATTTAAATCTAAAAGATAATATCAAGCTATCGTCTGATGATAAATGAGCAGTATATTGCAATTTTGCATAAACTATATTTGAATTTTTAATATAATCATTGTGATATTCAGAATGTGATATAATGACTTTTTCTGATTAATTTATGATCAATGCTTTGTATAATAACAATTGAATATTTTCTACAATTAAAATAATGTGCTATAATTACTTTTATAATAACAAAAACAACGAATAAATGAAATTTTTATCTAGTCACTTCTTAAAGTAATATAAGCTCAAATGCATATTACAGTGAATTTAAAAGAAATTTATTAGGTACTGTTAACTCTTATAAATAATTTTATGAATTTATTTGTACGTAATGTCTGGCTTTATTGATTTATCAAAAATTTATGTTATTTTTTAATACTTTGTGAGATATGTAGCTTATGTAGCATTGAATTTATAATAAACATTAAAATTTCTGTTTTGTAATTAGTATATTTTGTTTGTTTATACAATAAATATGAATGATTAAAAACGATTTCACCTTAATTTTAAAAAAAAAAAATTGTATCTGAGCTAAATATAAAGAAGAAAAACAACTTATAAATATGTTAAATGCTTAATGTAATATTTNAGCCAATCACAGCCCGGCACGTATGCAGTTTACGGACTACGGCTGTTTGAAAGGTTTTCTTCCATAAAATTAATCGATTCTAGACTAATTCGACTCAACATTTCCAAAATACGTATAATTTTTTTGAGAATAATCCACATAAACTATGCTATAAACAAAAAATTGTAGGATTACTTACGAATGTGCACCGTTCGACTACGCCGTTGCTTAAGCTTGTTTTCGTCGTGGAGATTGTCGTCGAATCGCGCTCGCGTGTTTCCTGATAAATTATTTTTTCTGAGAAATATTCGCTGAACTTTAGAGACATCATTAATATAAATATAATTTTTATGGACGTTAAATAATAAATGGTTTTTAATAGATTCGCTGCTAGTTTAAACTCAGCGGTTTCTGCAATCCTGTCGCGACACGAGTCGGCGATGACGTTTTACCGAATTATAGGAGTTTTTTTTAGCATGTTTGTACGGATACTCTCGCAATTTTTTCGCCGTGATATAGGAATCCGAACTATAGGAACCCGTGTTATAGGGGTCTACTATACATAAAAGACGATTATATCTATACNAAATTTCTGTTTTGTAATTAGTATATTTTGTTTGTTTATACAATAAATATGAATGATTAAAAACGATTTCACCTTAATTTTAAAAAAAAAAAATTGTATCTGAGCTAAATATAAAGAAGAAAAACAACTTATAAATATGTTAAATGCTTAATGTAATATTTTAAAGTTTCAAATGTAGGCATTAATAATTCAAAGTAGAATTATGAAGTATATCCTGAAAACAACTATTATTATTTTACCTTGTTTTTGTTCGTTTATTCACGGCAACGCAACACTTTGGTGATCTTCCTAGGATGGATGCTTTCCGGAAGATCTTTTTAAGAGTAACTGGTACCTATTTAGGCGTTACAGACGTGGGGAAAACCAGAAATACAACACGTGGCCAGCTCATCCTGGCGAGGCAGGAACCATCACCTAGTGTTCGGAGAACAGAACCGCTCGGCCACTGGTGGATTTTTCATTTTATAGTTCGTTGTTACAAGACATTCATGATTATTCCAAACTTATATAGTCTACTTTTTGATAATAATTACTGCTTGGTCGAAGCCTAAACTACTGGGGTAACGTTTGCAGAACGTTGTCCAAGTTTTAAGTAAAAATTCCCACGTTAGATTTTAATGAGTTCGATGTCACAATACTCAATAGACCGCATTTGTTATATTTCTGAAAATATACTTTACTCTCAGATAAGTGAGGAGTCGTTAACATGGTAAAATGGTGTATCTTGATAATCAGTTTTAAATATTAGAATAAGTAATAAGAAGTGTTATAAAATTTATAATTTCTAATCAATAAATAATTATAAATTTTTAAAAATTAACACTTTTTTTATATTTTCATAAGTATTACTTAGCTAAAATTATTGCGTTACAATTGTGAAATAACAGAAAACAGATAACGATATTGTATAGATTAATTATTGCCAATATAAATTAATCAATTATTCAATAAAATATAGTAAATTTTTAACTGTTTTCAAATAAGACTAGCAGCTAATTTCAAAAATTTTGCAACTAGTTGCTTAACTTTGCTAGTAAAAACTTTTAAAATTGTACGCGCACCATCTGTTAGGAAATTTTATATAGAAACTTTTTATATTATTAACTATCATAAAGTGGCAAAAAACTTAAATTGGAAGTAGAGACGAGTTTTATTAAACAGTATAAATGCTAATAACAAGTAAATTCTTTATTTATTCCGTCCCCACTGGAGATATGGCACGTGTCTTTTTCTATCTTCCCACCTCCTCGACCATCGACCATCAAAATCTAATAGCCAATCTTCTTAATAAAGAAACATCCCAAAAATATTTTAAAAATTTTTGACAAATGATACAGGGGTTACTTATCTACAAAGTGGTTAAATAAAACTATTTCCTACACTCAAAATTAAGCGTTTTGACGTTTTATAATACTTAAAAGTAAATAACTTTTTAAAAAAATATGATTACAAATAGCTACACCAAAATTTTAAATGTGAGTAAACTTGAGCAACTCGTTGCTGGTTTGACTTTTAAATGAATTAAAATATAATGTTTTATTTTTACTTTTAAAAATTATATTTAAAAGAACAATCTGATCTTAATTTACTTTACATTTTTGAACAGATTAGTTTATTAAATACGTACAGTACACGTGTAAATAAAAAGTAAGTCCGATTCCAGTGAATATTTTTGTATAACGAGATAGCACTGTTTAATCATCTGTTGGCTGCAGGCTTTATGTTTTATTTAATGTTCAGAGATAAAACTTCGGCTCTTGATAATGAAAGCATCCCTTATTTCTCACGAACCGATGCTATAGAAACAAAATAATGGCATAAATTAACCAACCAGTAATGTTAAAAGTTAAAAGTAATGTTGACTCGACTAAAAAAAAACAGATTCACAAGTGAGAAGCCATCATCGTCATCTCTCTTATCTTAAGATAATAGAAGTGACTACGTAACACGTATTACTTTTATAGTCATACGTGTTACGATCATAAGACTTACGTGATTAGCGAAGATAGCAACGTTACCTGTTATCCATACCTCTACAGTTTAGGGGTGGATAGTTTTAGTTCCGTTTTTTCTGTTTGATGGTTTTCTGTCTTCGTTTATCACTGACTGCAGCGAGGATATAAAATCTTTGTTTTCTGTATTTGTCAAGTAGTGGAGAACATCCAAAACAAAAAAGGACGTAGAGTAAAGGTAACTGAAGTGTTTTAATTATAATTTCTACATCAAAAAGATATTAATACTAATCATTGATAAGAAGAAGTTTTTTTCTTATTTACTCATATTGTACTTTNGAATAGCAGACAGTAATTATTTTTTTAAATATACAGTAAATCTCTACAAGAAAATAAAAACACTATTTTATAATATACTTTATCACTATTATTAGGAATTAATATAAAAGACTCAACCGTCCATGTAGGAAATGTTTTTAATATACAACAACCATCAAGTTCAACTGATAAAAATGATTCAGGTAATTGCAAATAATATAAGCTGGAGTATCTTTTTTAAAATTAAGTATTAATAATAATAATATATAGAAACAATTGATATACAGTATATTATTAAAGTTTAAGTTTATAATAGAAATTAATAAATGACGATAAATAAGTGAAATTTGTCTAAATATTCCAGAAATTTTTGTTAAAAAATTCCTGTAGCCTACATAAGACATGTTATAATTATCTACTGACTTTTATTGTTAGAGCAAAAATATAAAAATTAGAATTAACTGTACACTTTGCCTAGTAGATAGCAATTTTTGCATCAAACCACTTGCAGATATATTAGATTATTTGGTCGCAAATATAAAATAAACTTTTAAAATATAATGTGGCATTTTCTTGATTGTTTACTCTCGCAGCTTATACTATTATGTTGCCTTTATTTAACATTTAATTCTAAAATTAAGTAACATTGAAACATAAATGTATATTGGCAATACGATTCTTAAACTAAAATAAAGTTGTATTTTCCACATGTGTAAGACTGATGATGATTTAAATGCTATGATAGTTCTTTAGTAATGAAAATGACGTAACACCTTAAGGTTCTCTCGACTTTAACTACAAGTACACGATTTTGTGTTAATTATTATGTTTTACAGCAAACATATTTGTCTTATAACCATATAATAGGTATTAAAAATAATTCTATAACATTTTAATTAACATATTAAGTCTTAATTATTGTAACATTACAGGAATTGGAATGTCTGGCCTTAAATGCAGAAACAGAAAAAGTAGCAGACAGTAATTATTTTTTAAAATATACAGTCAGTTTAGGGGTGGATAGTTTTAGTTCCGTTTTCTCTGTTTGACGGTTTTTCTGTCTTCGTTTATCACTGACTACAGCGAGGATATAAAATATTTGTTTTCTGTATTTGTCAAGTAGTGGAGAACATCCAAAACAAAAAAGGACAAAGAGTAAAGGTAATTGAAGTGTTTTAATTATAATTTCTACATCAAAAAGATATTAATACTAATCATTGATAAGAAGAAGTTTTTTTCTTATTTACTCATATTGTACTTTAATTTGTAAAAAAAATTAGTATTTTTGAACGAACTATTTCGAATTTTCTACTGCAAGTAATACAAACCCTATGTCATTCTATCGTATAGAACTGTCAACATTTCAAGGCTTATTTAAGCTCTTCTAACCTGTGGTCACTACGAGAGTCATTTATGTCGACCATTTTGAATTCGGCTAGGCCCACAACGAGGTGGACAGATGGCGAAGTATGGTGCTGACGTATCCAAAGACAACCCACAAAACTTTTGGGATTATTCCACTCTAGAAATCCATTACCCGGTCCTAGATCCTTAAACTACCATCTTAAATAATCAGCCGTATGGCTCTATACACATATTTTAGTACTGCGGAACATCCCATGCAGAGACTGTGGAACAATAATTATTAAATCTTTATGAGCATAAGTAGCATTAATGATATTTTTAGGTATTCCTTCCCTAACTTCGTATATTATTCCGTCGTTTGTAGTGACTCCAATTAAAATCACCAAATAATTACAAAAGTAATTTATAGGTTTTACATTGGTTATTAAAATTTAAGAGAGAGGGGTTAATTAGATTTTCAGATGAGTCTAAAAATATGTTCGATTTTTAACAAAAACGCAAAAAACCGCATATAAAATAATACAGTACAAGCCGAATTCTTCAGGGTATTCCTTAAGCTTCTCCCTTGCTCTCGCAATATAAATTTCCAATAAACCCTT